TAAGGCACCAGGGGCAGATAGATTTAGTGGATACTCTAGGGTGGCAGTATGCAGGTTCTTGAATAGATGAGCCAGAACTGTAGGCCAGAGCCCAACGTCAGTGTGATTATGCAAAGCTTCTGCCAGATGCCTATACTCAAGCAGAACTGCAGAAGAACGATTGGGCAAAATAAACCTGTTCAGCCAATACAGAAGAAATAGCATATGCTGCTGGTCTTTGTCCTTCTCAACACTGAATTTTCTGAGATAATTGGAGAAGGAGCAATTCTGGTTGATCAGGGCTGGAGAAATAATGAACGGCTTGGCTAGCTTCTGCTGATCTTTCTTCCTGTGATAATCACCAACAGCATCAACAGGCCTTCCATGAGGTCTAAAACCAAAAATCTGAGCCATATCCAGCAGAGTTGGAGCCATGGGGCCTATGCGAAAGTCGAAAGTGTTACTGGCAGAATTCCAGAAACAAAAGGCAGCAGCAAGCAGGTTCTCATCTCTGTTGATAGATTGCCTGGACAGAAGTATGGCTTCATAAATTCCAACCCGTTTTCAGTGAGCCCCAAATCGGGGAAGAAGCCTGTCAATCCAATCAGCCCACTTGACTGGACTGTTTCTCACTTCACTAGATGGGAACGAACGGCTCAAATTCTTGCTAACCCAAGAATGAGAAGCCAGAGCAGAAGAACTCTCAAAACATAGAGGGGCCTCAGCATCCTTCTTCATCAGCTCCGCCATCTCGGGAGGAACGGGACCAAACTAGTGAGGCCCCAGCACCAAGGTGTTTTCAAACAAATGGAGGACATTTTCGTCTAGGTTCTTCTGGGCAAAAGGATGGAGCTTGCTCCTAACCTCTATCGCATGCTTATCAATCCCAGCCCCAGTAATGTAATCTGGAGGGACTGGAACAGAGGAAGACTGAGCACAAGACTTACATTTCTCGGAGTATCTTTCTAAAAATGAGGTCCACAGGAAGGACAAGGCAGGATCGAGAGAAAGGGAGTTATCGAAAGAAAGAAAGCTCAAGAGGAATGGAGTCTGAAAGAACTAGGTTTTCAGGTGAACAGAAACAGAGGGTTTTTGAAATTCTTTTAAAGAAGACAGAAAACGTGGGAAAGAAAAGACAGCGACGTAGAGAAGACAAAGCGTCACCTGATATTGACTAGCTAATAAAGAGCTAGTAACTGAAAACTGCTTTACACGGGCACTAGCTTAGTGGGGAAGAGTGACAGACGTGGGGTAACGCAGGAATTCACCACGCGCCAATTTAATGGCCATATCATTTAAGTCTGAAACCGTTCCAAAATGATTCAGACTTAAGGGGGCATTGTTTGGGCCTAAAAATTGACACACCCAGCCCAGCGAAAACGAGGCCCAGAATAAAAGCTGCAGAAAATCAAAGAAAAATGGAAGCCCAAAAACCAGAAGAGCTCAGCCCAAAACTTATCAAAGCAAACAAGGCTAATCTGGGCCTCACGGGCCCGATATGATAAGGGGGGAGAGCCCAGAAATAAGAACAATCCCACGTGACATCTCTGGGATAAAGAAAAGTCAACAATGACAACTGCCATAGAAGAAGTGATTGAAAGGTTTATGACATCAAGTTGTTCTGAAAAGCCTGAAAACCCTGAAGATCAAATCCCTCTTACATGTATTTAGAGATTTTTTCTTCTATGTTTACAGAAAAGGGTAATTCTCCCAAGGAGATAAGCAAGTTACAATCTCAGAGAAGGATAAGCAGGAAAGCAAGGAGCTGTCCAGAAAAGAAGTCAAACTAACCATCACGGGTGAAATCTCACAAGGGGCAATTGAAATTGGGAAAGAGATTAGGTTCTTTTTCAAGAAAAACAGGGAAGTGATTGCCTATTTGAAAGCCTATCTGCCAAAACTGATGAAATCCTATTTTCTGAACAGGGTAAAGGACACTCAAAAAACCAAAAAATCAATCAAAAGACAAAAACTCAAAATGATCACTTGATCTCAAAAAACCTTCAAAACACTGAAGCAACCAAAGCTCATTGAGCCAAGACACCAACACAAACAACTCAAAATCAATCAGAAGCTCACTTGAATTCCAAGTGAAAACCAGCTTTAGATTAGAATTCCCAAGGTTCAGACTTAGCAAAAACCAAGACAAGTAAAGCTTGAGCTTTTCCCAAACATGAAAACCTCAACAAATTTTACAGTGCAGTCTCTAGCCCACTGAAGTCCTCGAGAACAGCCACTTCTGCCCTTACAGACTGAAGAAGCCGCAGTTCTGCCCACTCAGAAGCTTCACAAAAGCTTAAGGTACATTGAAGCTCTGCCAGAATCAACCTTTGGTATCGATTTATAGTTAAAACCGAGCAGTCAAAGTTGTCAATGTTCTAGTCTAGCCCAGGCATTTCCAGTCCAGCCCAGAACAGAGCCTCCCATCCAGGCAGAAATGGAGTTCCAGCCATCTTTTTATCTTTCTAGCGTTGGTATTTATTTTTATAGTTTTGCAAAAGGCAGTTCCGCCTAAAAACAGTTTAAATTCCATCAACCATTCTGGCCAGAACAACCTCTTTATGCTGAGATAAATTGTTAAAGTCCTCACCAGTCTGAGGCAAGAAAAGAACTTACTTGGGAGATATTCCTCACCCAAATTCACAATCGTTTGTTTGCAGAAATCAGTAACTTGGGGCGCAAGTTATCCATTCCAAACTAAGTCTGCTAGAATTTTTATTACTAGCAGTGGCACGCTCGCACACCAAAGAAAGCTGACTTGTTGACCAGTCTATGGTTCTCAAGGCAGTGGGGAACTTTGCCCTTCCATCATAGGAGTAAACGCAAAACGGGTGAACACCCTCATTACCACCGCCCCTATAAGAACACCGTGTGAGTCCCGAACAATCAGACCTACATCCCAAAAACCATCTCGCAAATCCAAAGCACCATCGACATTGAGCTTAAAATAACCAACCTAAGGAGGACGCCAATGTTTGTCCGAAATGGGCAAAGAAATACATTTATGAAGTAGTAACTAAGATTGATGATATTCCGCAATATAGTTCTTTGCACGGAAAAGAAGATGCTCCGCAGACATAGGATCGAAACCAAAAATGACAGCATTCCAACCATTCCACAATATCCACAACACAGTAAAAAAAAAAAAGGTTGCTGAGCAATTGGGATTAAATCCCATGCCGCCAACAGCCAAATAGCAGCTTCATCCAGAGTCAAACCAAGAAAAACTGTCTGCAGTTCCGAAGACTCCCATATGAGACGAATAGCTGGGCAATCTCGTAGGGCATGAACTGATGGTTCGCAGCCAGTGGAGCAACGAAAACAAGTCGCATCCATGGCGATCTTACGATGAAAAAGGACAGTTTTTGTCAGGATGCCATTCTGAGCGAAACACCAAAGAAAGTGCTGTATTTTCATCGGCACTTTCATTTTCCAAATATGCTTCCATAATTTTTGTGACGGATTAGAACCAGTACCAATGCTAGTGTGACTGAGAGCAAAATTCTGATATTCTAAAGCAACCTAGTATCCACTCTTCACAGTATATCGCTCATGTGTAGTAAAGTGCCAAATTCTACAATCGACGTTATCACATACCAAAGGTATAGACAAGATAGTCTCCGCTTCCATGAAAGTAAATAAACTATAAACCTTGGGAACATCCCACCACCCACTTGCCGAAATCAGAGTGCTAACCTTAGTATCCATAGCGATGCGTGGAGCAGTTTGAGTCGTGAATATCCAGCGTGAATATATTACATGTTTATAGTCCCACTTTACACAATTAATATAGAGTAAAGAAAGGAAAGTAAAGCCATAGCCAATTAATCCTCCAATAATACTCAAAATCAATGCCCTTTTCATAGTCTATTATTTACTGTTGCAGGATTGAATTTTTCTATTAAAAACTTGTGTTATGGTTTGGGGCCCCCACACATACAATCCTAGCTCCTCCCTGCTCCCGGCCTGAGTACACTTTGTTCCATATTTGGAATAAAATTATATTGCCTACTGTAAAAAAAAAAGTTCAAAATTTTAGATGCCAACTGAGGTGACAATTTTTTTTTGTTCATATCTGAATCCTCTCTAAATCTAATTTATTTCTAGTGCTGGTGTGTCGCCTATAACATCATTTGTGACTAAAATTTGAGAAAACTTATGCTTCTAGTTGTTGGGAGAGTTTATCCTACGTTTGAAAAGTTAAGAGACTTAGCCTGATTTTATAAGGAATTCGGCTAATCCCCCTTATTGCCAATTGATTTTAAGATGGAACCTCAACTTTCTTCCTTAGTGTCATAGGTGATTTACATGCAAAGCACAAGCCTAGAGAATGTTCGTAATTGAAAAGGTAAGACCCATTAAATTTTGCTACTTGCCCTAGTTCAAGCAAGAGTGATGAGATTGTTCAATTAATCAATTTGAATTACTCAAGTAATCTGGAATGAGAAGGAAGAAGTTAGTAAGATACAAGCCACTGTATAATAAAAGTCTTCACCTTATGCCCAATCTCCAACCACAATTAATCCATTCAAGACCAAAAAGGAAAAAAAAAATAAAACAAAAAAAACAAAAAAACAAAAAAAGGTACAATACCTATAAGGCTGTCTAAAATTATAGGAAGAATGCATATATGTGGCGCAGGAGCAGCAAAGCAATGCACCGGTATTATTAACTGTCGAACCACTTGAATATTTCAATAGCTCTTCACAATTTTTGAGACTGAAGAATATGTACCAAGGGTTGCGGCAATTATGCCCAAAGCAGCAACTGTGGTACTAGAAACAACCTAAATAACCACAAAAGAAAAGCATTAAGAAGCTTATCTCATGCATTTTGTTCTCTGTTGGTGGCTCGACTTGAACTATATTAGAGTCAGGTTCAAATCAGTTTTTATGAATTCCACCTATCTAGATGAGACTTGTATAAGACATAATATGTTGGATTGTTGTCCATTTTAATAAGTTCAATCGCAAAATTTATAAGTTCACTACATAGCGGTTAGGATACTTGTTCAATTTAATTAAAATAATCCAGTCCAATCCGAGCCACCAAATGAGCTAAAGAAAATGCAAGATGCTTTGAGTAAAAAATTAAGGTGTAGAGTTCCCTTACCTGTACCGTTGTAGCTTTCCTTCCTGCTATTTTCAGAAAGCATAGCGACGGCACTATTACTGACTGCACCAAAGCCACACATATCAAATTGATTATTATTATTTTTATATGTATTTTCAAATATTTAATATCAACACCAAAAGAAAACGAAAAGGAACAAACCGAAGATAAGAGATGCTAGCCAAAAAAAAAAACACAAAAACTCATGCTGTCATAATAATGAACCCATATCACAATTTTCAGTCTACCAACAGACCATTTCAATTTGCACAAACTATTTCTCAATCAAAACTAGTCTGAGGAAGAAGAATCCAGAGAAAGAAAGAAAATAAGACATAAGATCAGAAATCTTTCCTTACTTGTCTCCATTGCTGAGGATGTAAGGCATAATGACCATGTTTGGTGACTGGGATAAAATGGAATTATGATGTAGAAGTGGATCACACTAAATTACATTGGATTGGAGATGATAACAGTAATCCAGCGATGCGTTTGGTACTATTTATGATTAAGGCGCTCGATTAACTGCAATATGCTATTACACGGCCTAGCAGGATTAGACATAATCCAATCCAACTTAATCCCAACCTTTGGGCCTAGTAAGATTACGGTTTAGCTCCTAGCTAGCTAACATATTGATGATTAACACTTAACAGAGGAAACCTCACCTAACATGTACAGAGTAGCCTGGTTTTAGTTCTAAGATTAGATTTCATAATTGGTTATGGCACTGTTGACTTCAATTACTTACAGTTTGTGTCATTTTATGAACTGCAGCTATGTAATTGCTGAACAGAGGTGTAAGCTTACCACAAGAATACTGAGTAGAGAGCCTATCAAAGACATCACAAGACCTGAAATAAGAAAAATACAACTGAGGTAATTAGGTTTACAAAATTTGACTGGCGCAGGAAATAAATGCATAAAAGATAGCAGTGGAATACTTTCAACATTTTTGTTTGAATTATAAGGTTTTGAACAGTTCATTGTCGGACTAGGGGAGAGCGAGTAGACATCGAATGATTAATGTCTATTTTTCGTTAGGTTCGTCTAAGTTCTACAGTGACCTAGCTGAAAGGTTTGAATTGAAGTGAGTGCTTGAAGCCAAAACTTACCAAAGAAAGGTATAAGAAAGGCAGCACCAACAGAAGAAATGACAAGTGCTGTTCTTAAAACAATGAAACACCAGGTACTATTAGAAAGTCCAACTGGCAGCAGCTCCTCAATACCCCTTGCTAATGGGTTCATCAACAGGGCATATTTGCTCAATGTTAAGGAAGCAAATAAAAGCTAACCACAGAATTATCAGATTATATCCACTAATATAATATTCGCAAGTAACGCACACATTCACATATACAGTCTAAAAGGATATTTACTCAATGGGTTGATAACCTGTGAAAAAAAAAAAAGCAACAAAAATGAGCTCAGAATGCACATATTTTCACCAAATATGAAGTGAGAATCCACAAATCTCAGACTTACTGTTGTCCAGAGTGCAACTTTGGACAGAAAAGCATGTGGTGGCATGTTTAAAGTTATCTGGGACAATGTTTGTTGACCAAACATGAGATATCCCATGACTGCAACACTCCCATATAAGAGCACACATAATATAAAACTGCACAAGAGAAAAGGTGCAAGGCATATAAGAAAGAAGGCCAAGAAATGTGTGTGTACGAAAAGGAGCAAAGCATTACAGGTTTTAAACCATATTATGATCGCCTTGCTAAATTGTCGTCTGTCTGCCATGGATTGATAAATGTTTGGAAACACAGTATGCCCGGCAAAGCAAAATCCATACACACCAATTACAAATGGAATTCCATTCCAGTTCACTGCTTGAGCATTGTGATGAAATCCAATCCCACCAGCGGTACCGAGTAAAATTACACACAGAACAATCAAAAGTGTGACAATCACCCCACCAGCTGCCAAAAGAAAACAGCTAAGAGTTGAGTTGATTGCATCGGAAATGAAATGATTCATATTTTCGAAGCTTGGAAACAATGCGGCATTTGACAGAAGAAGTTTGCAAAACCTGAAAGGAAGGAAATCAAACGAAGATCCCTCAACCAAACACTTGGTAGAACAATGAGGGCAGTTACTATTCCAAATAAGTGCAAGGAGTCCAGCTGAAAACCAGCCCAATTTAAGGATGTTCCTGGGAATAGCCTGCTGAGATTATCTCCTTCCAAAATAATGAATTCTACACAATAAGACTGCATATATGGAAAAGAAATATTTTTTAGTATAAACAACTTATGGTTCAAAACTTCAACCACAATGTAAAACTAGAATCAATGTTTCACTTACATATAGTTCTGCGTACAAAACAATCTGCACCGTTATCAGAAGACGCAATGATATCAGAAAATATTGAATACAAAAGTAATTGGCATGGAAGTTCTAACAAAATCATGCAGAAAATAAAGCAAATTTATAGATCCAATACAATTCAATGACACAAATCATCCTCTATGAGGTTGACTTGGCCAAATTAGACTGTAAAGTGCTTCAAATAAATTTCTGTATCTTAAAATTGACCAGAAGAAAGATAAGCATTGGTATGTCAGCAAGCAATAACAAACATATTGAACTAGCATGCCCAACTCTTCATTGCTAATAGTCGAGCCATATATAGTGCCAATAAGTTGCAACTTACGGATATGAAAAGACGCCCATATCTTCCAAAGGCAGCTTCTCCTAAATCTGGATAAGTTGTGATGCCTTCTTTGTCCTCAAAACAGTATCTCATGAGTACCCCCGTGTAACAACACACAACTGCAAAAAGAAGTAGCACCACCAGACCTGCCCAGCCAGCTTCTTTCACTGTAGAAGGTGTTGAAAGAAGCCCAACTCCAGCTATTACATTAATTCCTGTCCAGAAAGACGTGACACAATGAACTCAAGCAAATACAGCCACGACACAAAAGTGTAAACTACAGAGTAAATGCAGGCACCGAATAGATCCATGTAACTACTGATGTAGCCTTTGTTTGCAAATGCTACATTTATTTAGTAAGCAGAATCATATCAAACCATAAATAAGTATATGTAAATTTTCTCACACGAACATTAGTTCTCATATTAAGGTTTTGATGTTTTTAAAATCACTACCAACATAAATACCAAATATCAAACAAAAACTAAGCAAATCATATCACACAAAAACAATTAAATCAAAAGTATACCATTGAAGATGGTTTGAGTGAAGCTACAGCCATGACCAATAGGTAGTTCTCCCGTCTGCTGCTTATGCAGAGTAGATTTTTCTGACAATAATGATTGGGTTATTGATATCCTATCCAAATCAGCCTTTTGAGGAGCAGATTCATTGGTAGACAGGAATGAAGACTTTGTAATCAGGTCTAAAATGCCTTTTGAATAATTGTGAATGCTTGCATAGCTACTAGTTGGAACAAATCCAAGATTTGCAATATTTGGTGATGCTGCGATTGAGTAAGAATCGATTGTCTCCCTGTCAAAAAATAACATAAAATACAATGTGATGAAAAATGCGTCTAAGAAATCATTATATAACAACTACTCTGGAAAATAAATCAAAATTACAATGATGCATAATGTACTAGATATTTAACTTATCCAACTGAGGCGAGACGATCCATACATGATCAGCCTATTTTAGCTCCCATAGTTGACTGATTTAGTTTATCTTACAATGAAGTGATTTAGTTCTTGTTGAGCCAACATCCACTCACAAGTCACGCTACTACAGATTAGTTCAGTTGATGTACCTCATTGAGAACTGAATGGGGTGCCTACAAGGGACGGTATAAAGAGGCACATCAACTGAACTGGTTTCTGCTATTCTTTAGTACCTTTGGTAGGCGCCTACGAAGGACCGTATAAAGAGAAGGTATGTGCAATAAGATAAATGTCTTCTTTGATACAATCTCATGTGGAAAAATAAGCTCTAAATGATGAATTGGAATATGTTAAGTCTTTTGAATTGGTTTCTGCTATTCTTTGGTACAATCTCCTTCTCAAACACTTGAACTAAAACATTTGTTTCTTGGTGGACCATATTTTTCTTTTCTCCCATCTTCTGCATTAGTTTTCCGCACAGCATACAGAACATCTTCTTGCTGATTAAAAATTATGCATAATTGAAACAGAGATGGAATTCTTATCACACAATTGGTACAAAATTAACTTAAATTTTAATCCACATAATCTGTTATGACAAAAACAAATCAAATGGCAGGAGATTTCTACAGTGTACATCTCTTGATATCAAAATGGAACCAATTAAGAATGACCCAATAAGTTATCAAAAGGGGTGAAAGGAAGATGCATACTTGTAACTCTGAGGCCATTTCTGAGAAGTAAAACTAACAGGAGAGGAAACCTCAGCATGGTCACCACCATGGCTGCTACTAGAACTGCTCCCACTCTCAGTCTTGTTCTCCTCAATATCATCGTCTTCATCTTCACTCTCATACAGAAACGGATCCGTTTCTTTCTCCTTATCCTTCTCGGCCATGGTTGGTCAGCAAAACACAAAAAAGAAGACACAGAAACAGAAACAGAGGAGGTGAAAGAATTATTACTAGTTAGATTTTATAAAATGTGACAATGAGAGATGAAGAAGAGTGTAAGAGTGTCTTGTCTTTGTGGGTAGATTGATATGGTAGTGTGTTTTTATGCGTGGCTGAGAATGACAGTCCAGAATGTTACAGAAGGCTAGCTCATAAAATCATGCAATGTATGTGTGGGAGGTTTTCTAGGAATTCGGGTACATATTCAAGCAAGTACATAGAACCGAATCGGTAATCACGTGATAGTAGGTGATTTTTGGATACTTTATTAGGAAAATACTTTATGCCCAATTTTTAGTTATTTTTTAATTACAATGCATAAGAAAAAATTGTCCTATTTGTAGAACCTATAAAATAGTGCCACATTGCCATTAAAATTATACGGACAATAACATTATCGTCTTATAATTATTAGTTTCTTGGTTATGTGTCGTTCAAATGATAGTTGTTTACACAAGAATGTTCAAAAGAAGACTAAATTATAAAGAAGAGAAGGTTTCTCACACACATACACACACTACTAAGTAGTGGTGGAGCCAGAAAATATATCAAGAAGGATCAATCTCAAAAGACAAGAATTAAAACAAAATTGAAAAAAATCATATAATAATAAAATCCTTTGTATTATTAAGTTATTACAACTAAAGAAATAATTAAAAAGGTAAGTAGCATAAGTAGGGACATGCGAGACAAAAAATTTCATCTTTTGTAAATCAACATTCTACTTTTGTAGTTTTTTCAAAAGGTAAGATGGTGAGAAGGGTCACTTCACCATTTAGAGCCTTTATTAGCTTCACCCCTGCTAGTAAGATACAATGAATGTTCGAATCTGAGACAATTGGTCTATCATGAAAGAGAAACGGTGATGACGTGATGATGTTGCCATGCTTAATTATTTCGTTGACACCCGGGATGTACGTACGAATCTCTCCTAACAAACAAACGCATAACCAATCCAACAAATGTGTCTATGTCATAGTTTTGTGGGCTAGTAAATTAATGTCTACAATCAGACAAAGTATGCCAAGTTATGTGGCTACAATGTGTCCCTTTGTGCCGTCCACAAAAAAACAAAAAAAAAAACAAAAAAAAAAAGGTGTCTCTTTGTAGCAGCACTGACATATAAGTAATTTTTGTGATGAGAGTAATATTATAGCATATGTATATTTATTAATATTGTATTTTATGGCAGTCATCTTCTATCGGAAGATTTCTCAAATTTATGTGGAGCACACTTTGTGGTGTCCATTATAAATTTATTTCAATGATATGTATCGTCTACTTTACAAGTCTTCATTTATGGTCTCATAAATCATCTTTACGAAAAATTGCACAAATTAAAGATCATTAAACATCTATTTGTAACCAACAAAATTAATGAGCATATACTGAAATAACAACAATTTAATTGACTGGTCAAATAATTTCGAATTCAAATGACTTTTTTGTAGAGATGATCGTTTAAGGATACATAGAAATACATGGTTGAGATCATTGAAATACAATGTAGAGTCAATGAACATCACACAAAGTGTTCATCAAATAAATATATTTGAAAAATCTCTTAATTAAAGCTCTCCATACATCAACATAACCATGAGTTGGCATTATGCATCGGTGGCCCAAATTAGGCAATTGCAATATGCGTTGCTTAATGCCTATTCCATATGTCTCCTGTACATGTTGTATTCTCTAAGGTTTTGCTTCCTCTTCCAAAAGATGCATATATTCTCTTTCCACTTCGCAAGTCACTATATTGAGGCTTGGATCATATTAAAGCACATCAAGCTCTCCCCTTTATTTCTTCACCATCTCCTGAAGAAAATATAGAAGATGGGCCAAACTCTGAAGAAATTAGCTCCTGGTATGCTCTCTCTCTCTCTCTCTCTCTCCAATGGGCATTTCACCAAAAATATATTGCTCTCTTATGAAATGATATAAAAGTCAACGTTTTTCTTTTAGTTGTATTATATAACATTCAAATTCAATAACATCGCATTGCTAGCCTCTCAACATACGCTTCCTTTCTTTTCAGGCGTCATAAAGATTTTTTTGGTTTATCTTGTGCTTGAGGAATTTTTTCTTAATCACACATTTTAATTTATTTTTAGTTTATATGCGGTTGTCTTTATCTTTTATGGACATATTTATCATAATGGTTCTCGATAAATCGTGTGACACCATAGATTTCGGCCTGACTTTATAATAGTAAAGATGTGTAATAGAGTTCTCTAGTATTTGAGGATTATACTAGTGAACTCTATTATACATAAACAATATTAATAATCTAAATAATTAAAGTCTATGATTATACTAATTAATGTCACCCTGAAATTACCCTTATATTTATGCGCAGGAACGGAGGAGAACCAGATTAAGGAAATTAGACCCATAATAGAGAAGTGCTATGAAACCCATTTTGCAGGCACCTTTGAGGAACCAACCTTAACTGACTTTTACCGAGCAATATGCGAAACTGTCGAGTATAAATCATTTACTGAGCAGTAATTAATTATTATTTTTTTTATTATTTTTTTTTTTTTGGGGCCATGAACATATGTGCTAACCTTCCTCCCATATTTTTGGTAGAGAAATCAACAAGCAGCTTGGTAACACACAATTTTGCTTGCCAACGGAAAGCAAACTCAGGCAAGCATACGAAGTAAGCATTTCTAAGGATCCATCTAGTAATGTCTTCTAAAAAGTGTTTTTGGAAAATAAAAACGAGAAAACGAATTTGTATTTTCAAGATCCATGAATATGCTTAATTAAAAAACAGTTTCAAAAAAGAAAAAAAGTGGTGAAAACTTGTATGGTGGTACAATGTGAGAATAACGTAAACAATTTATGTGTCACTTCCTTCAACCTTAATTTTCCATTAAAATGCATCATGTATACATGGTACTAGTCATTTTTCAAAGTCATCTACATTGCCAAAATGTAGGGCACCATTTATATTGTTCGGATATGTAACCTAGATTCATAGTTTGACAACGTAACTACTTATAACATAATTTTGATAAAAGAACACTATACTAAGTATACGAAACTTTCTTGCCAAATTGTGCATGTGTTGTCATATTGTAAATTTGGACATTTAATTAGGTTGATGTTTTCCAAATTCATACTATAACAACATAAGTTTTTATTTGACAACATTAATTTTTAACACTACCCAAATCATACGTATATAGGAGAATTTTCCAGTAAGGATGCCCAACGTCAATCAGATGGGTCTATATTTTAGAATGGGCATGAAGGTAAAGGATATAATAATGTGAACAACAAAATTATAATATTTTATAATGTGAAAAAAAAAATATTAATTCATATATAATTGTAGAACCACCACCAAGGCAAAGGAAGATCATTGACAAGGGAAGAGTTTCAAAGGATTTTCCAAGATGTGATTTTGGGTACAGGATTTACTGGTGTAGGAGGAGCCAAGGACACACTGATTTACATCTTTGGTGTTCCACTCACTGCCTTGTTTGTCAAGCAACGACTGATGCCACGTGTCATTCCTAATGAGATTTTCATTCCATGCGTCACCTCTGCCACCGTCTTCGTACTTGCTAAGCTCAACAAGATATGAGCAATGGGGCACTTGCCAACTGAGGGTTTTCCATAAATGATACATTGTCCAAGATTTAAATCAACAATAATTAATTATTTTAGTATAATTAATGTATTAAATTGTTGATAATCTGTTTACATCTTTTTAAATTTGTCTGAATTGTTTGTTTTCTACAATCAGATTTTTCGTGAAAAAATTGTTACAATTGGATCCATATAGAACTTTCCTTTTTTTTTGGTCTGAACCACGAGGTGGTCCTGGATGGGCTCCAACTATGGATGGCACCTTTAAGCCTTAACCACAACCCAGACTAATCCCCGCTCACACCGGGTCGGCCCGTAAGGAGTAAAGTGCTGGCCAAAGTGGTGACTCCATACAAGAGCAGGGATCGAACCCCTGACCTCTCTTAAGGAATGAGAAGAACTTTCCTTTTTCAAAAAATAAAATTCTAATTTTGTTGAATTTTTTAATCAATTGAATTTTAATTTAAAAAAATCCTTGATTATAATTCATGCATTAATATATCCCTGTAAGAATACAAGGAATGGTCACTAAAAAGTGAGAGTGGGCACTCTCGGTCTCCGATACTTAAGTATGGAGGAAGTGCATATTACATTTTAGGTGAAAAAGTACGCTTGTTTTTTTATACTAGGGGAGTCGACTTCCCTTTTGTGTTGTTTCAATGTGAGACTGTAGGTTAGTTAATGACATGGCACCTTCTGGGTGGTTAGTCAGTCGGACTGACGTGTATCTCTCCTTATTGGGGAATTGGGTGTCATTGGAATATTCATAACAACATGTGGGCTTCTAGGTAAACACCCAAGTGTTGGGCTAGCCGAGGGCGATGTGGTCCATGTGTTGTCCTCTTAGGCGTGCATAAAGGGTTCTTCGACACGCACTTTTGCCCTTTTGCGTCCCATCACTAACAAGTCACAAATCAAAACAACATTGAATTTTGGATCAAAAAGTAAGAATGAAAAACAAGTTATGATATTTTCCAAGAACATCAACAATGTTCTTCATGACTTCAAGAACGTCTCAATATTCTCATCACTCAAAAGACACATTTTTATAAGAAACTCATAGATTTTTACATGACATGACTCACTAACCTCATGACATTCACATATATGCAAGTCAACATTTAACAAACACAAGAACACCAAAAACACCCCATGCCGCTACCCCTCTATGCATTTCTCAAAATCTTAACTTTTCATGCCTTTCAATCCTAACTATCTAGTTCATATGGCTTTTCAAATCCTCAAATGCAATCTTTTCCCAACTACATAACTCAACCCCTCTTTGTCTCCCACTTCTCCTCGTTCCCACCGTCTAATCAAACTCCATCATAGACCAACCCCTAATCTCATATGATGTAGAGGTCAGATCCTATGGTGACAGCGTAGTCGACATCGGCAATGATTTTGGTGCGAGGAGGAAGGCAATGAAGTAATGGAGGTCGAGCATCTCGCAGAATCCATAAAAATCAAGATGATCTAGAGCCTTCAAAATCAATCTACGACCTGAAGAAAAAGGGAGAGGGAGGTCTTCTGAGTCGGTGAAGGGGAGAGAGAGAGAGAGAGAGAGAGAGAGAGAGAGAGAATTGTGGGGTTGGGGGAGGGAGGTCTGAGAGAGCTCCTACACTGGATTTTGGAGTAACGCCTAAGTATGTGGAATTTGTGTCACGTCCCAATCCACGTATTTACATAACCATGGGTTAAGACATGATTCACACCTCAATTATAGAATTTAATAAAAACTATAACTAAAATGTGAAGAAACATTTAAATAAATAAAATAAAGGACAAACTACAGTAAACCCCCCAACCTATAAAGTCATTTTCGAGTTCAGACCCGATTTCTCCATTAGCGAAATAGTCAAAAAAATCCGTTATCTGCCTATGTGGCATTTATGAGACCTATTTTTTAATTGACGTGGACTTACAGGTGGACAAATAAATAATAAAAAATTATATACATGTTAAAAATAATTTTTAAATAATATTAAAATCATTAAAAATGAAAGGCTTTTTATCACAAATGGTCTTTCATGTTTACGAAATTATCACGAATGGTCCTTGAGGTTTTTTTGTGACACTAATAGTCCTTAACGTTTGGGCTTTTTATCACCAATGGTCCCTGCTGTTATAAATTCTGTTAAGTGTGACGTGGAAAATAAGTAGAGCCCACATGTCCAATCACATTATGACACGTGGATAAAAAATAATTAAATATTTTTACATAAAAATTCCTTTTTTTTTGCAACTTTTCATCCCCCTTCCTTACTCCGTCTCTCTCCCCCTCTGCACTCACTCTCCACCCTTTGCTCTCCATCTCTTCTCATCTCTCTTCTCCAACCCAGCCAACCACCACGACGACCTTGCCCACCCCTTCCCAGCCCCCTCTCCGTCTCTACCCCACCCCCCTCTCTATCGAAGCCATCATCTTGCCCAATTGCTTATAATCCCTCTATTTCGTTATTGTGCAAACCAAAGTTCGTGACTCTAACACTGAGAACCTCTTTTATTCTTCCAAAAAGATGAAACCCCAAGTTCAGCTCGATCTAATTCCACTACCCATATCCAAAATGAAGCATTTGAATGAGTATACAAAACACATCACAAAGTGCAAATGATTGGATTTCATCATAATTTTAAAGAAAAACCATTTGTTCTGTTTCATTCAACCAAAACATACACTCAAATCTACTTTCTCAGCATCCAAACAAAGCTAGAAAGCAAGAAAAGAAGGGCAACCCATTAAAACCCGTTAATTTCTGGGCGAGTTTTGCAAAACTTTGAAATCTGGGTTTGAGAGGATCCATGGTTTCTCAGAAGCCCCAATATGGAGTTTGCGTTTTCTAGGGACTACAACTTGATCCCATGAGATTTGGGTTTGAGAGAATCCATGGTTTCTCAGAAGCACCAAAACGAAGTCTAAGTTTTTTGAGGATTGCAACTTGATCCCTTTGGAAGTTGGCGATCGTAAGGTCTTCGAGGGAAGCAAGAGGAAGAGGCAGTTGATGAGGATAGAGATCTTGCCCTTGGTTCTATCCAACGACAACGAGGTCAGTGGCGATGACTTTGAAGGCGGTGTGCACGGAGGAAGGGTGGGTCGGTGGGGGTGTGGGAAGAGGCAATCAGTTTGGGTGGGGTGAGGTGGGGCTAGGAAGAGAAAGAGACAAAGAGAAATTGTTTTCTTTTGATTTTTGATTTTTAATTTAATTGAATAATATTATTTACTTGTTTATAATTATTTTTAAATTATATTGAATTTTTTTAGTATTTATTTGTCCACCTGTAAGTCCACCTCATTAATAGATTCATTAACGGTTTGGCTAACGGAGGGGGCAAGTTATAGGTTTTCTGCGACATTGAGTATGTACTCGTAAATGTCCCCAAAATCGGGTATGAACTCGTAAATGACCCTATAGGTTGGGGGGT